GGGCCGCCTGGCGCCGGCCGCCTCCTCCCCGCCGCGGTTCCTCCCTCCTCCTTCCCTCCCCGGCGGCCGCAGAGCCCTCCCAGGGCGGCGGCAAACTTTCCAGAGCTGGAAGCAGGCGCCCAACCGGGCCTCGGCGCACGGATCGTTCCAGTTCCAGCCCGAGCAGCGCTCCGGCCCCTCCGGGCGCCTACCCCGGCCCCTCCGAGCGCCCGCGGGGTGTCCTGCACCCACCTGGCTGCCGCTAGCGCCCGGCTCCGCGCACAACGCCCGTTTCAGCCGGCAGCCCGCCCGCCCGCTGTCCGCTCCGTCCCCGCGGCCGTCCGCCCGCCGGTGCGTCCTGCGCCGAAGCGGGACTGCGCGGCGCCAGCTGCTCGCGCCACCGCCACCGCCACGGTGCACTAAACTGGGGCTGCACTGTGCGCCGCGGCCAGTGGGGGACGGCCTGCGCCTGTCACGCCCCCGGACACGCCCACAAGAGGCGCGGGGCTCTGCCTCTTCTCCCGGCCGCCCGGGGCGGAGGATCCGAGGGGGCGTGGCCAGGCGGGGGTGGGGGCGCCCAGCGGTCCTGGAGGGCGTGGGAGCCGGGCTGGAGCCAGGGTCGCCCACCCGGCCCCTCGCAGCACAGTGAGCTCAGAACTGTCAGCAGCGCGCTCAGAAGGGTGGTCTGGGTCGGGGACTAGGTGTCAGGGCGGCTTTTCTGTGAAGCAGTCCCTGAGCCGAGCCAGTGCATCGAGCCCGCCAGCGTTGCAGACCGACAGATGTGTGTGCAGAGCCCGGGAGGTGAAGGACAGGGCACACTTGACACAACAGGGAGATGCAGGGATTGCAGCCCAGAGGGCACAGCTGCTGCATTTATTAAGCCAGCCCGTAGCCTACAGGATGAGCCCCGGTCCCTGAGCGGTTGGCTCAGGGGTCATGTCCACACACCACACCCACCCTAAGAAGACACAGGTTTGGAGGTGAGCTGATTCCCAGCCTCAGAATGCAAAGAGCTGGCCATCCCAGATGGAAGATCCCACCCTAGCGCTGCCTGAGCTGGAGCCAGTGGAGGTCCTGTGGCACCCACATCCAGTGCCGGGACAGATTCCATCTGAGGAGGGTGGAACTGGCAGCTCAGCTCCCAGGAGGACTAGCCTGGCCATCTCATCAGATCAGCAAGCCATAGATGCTGGCCTGTATACCCTTTGTGACAGCAACCACCACAGGTCACCCCATGACTGGGGGCGTCTGTGTCTACCCTCACAAGGCAGGGGACCTTCTTTCACTTTCAGGCAAACTCAGCGAAGTCAGAGGCCTATGTAAGCACAGAGGGGAAGGTAGGGTCTTGGTCAGTGCTTCTGCCCAACTTGGCAGTGTATGGCTTGAGAGACTCACACTGCTTATCTAAAAAATGGAAAAATGGGGGCTGGAGAGATGGCTCAGAGGTTAAGAGCACTGACTGCTCTTGCAGAGGACCCGGGTTCGATTCCCAACACCCACATGGTGGCTATGAACTCCAGTTCCAGGGGACTCCAAAGCCCTCTTCTGATCTCTGCGGCATTGCAGGACACGGGTGCACTCACATACATGTAGGCAATACACTCATACACATAAAAATAAATAAATAAAAATAATGATTTTTTAAAAAATTTTTAATGGAAAAATGGTTCCTGGAAGCCCCTCCAGTGGCTCGAAGTTCACTCTACATTTCCCAGTCCCTAGCTCCAGCAAAGGATTACCTGTGCTGCCTCTAGAGGGTGGGTGTCTTTGGGCTGACCTGGGGGCCCTCAGGCTGCCCTCTGTCTAGCCTACAGCTCTACACCTCTGCCTGCTGCCACTGGTGTAGTCTGCTCTAACCCAGCAGACTGGCTAGGATCCGCACACAACTGCTCACTAGTTCTTGACCACCTGTTGCGGGGGGGTCATAGCAGACATTCTGCCCTAATCTGTTAGCTGATTAGTTATCAGTAAATGGACCAGAATGTGTGAACTCTGACCTCCTGGGGGGAGGGGTTAGGGTTGGGTTCCTCTACCTGATTATCAGGACCAGCCACACCTTGCCATGGCTAGGAGCTAAACATCCATCCAAACACCAGCACTTTATTTCTAGGATGTTCTCTTTGGCAGAAATATCTGGCTGGGAATCCCAGGCCAGTGCTGGCTAAATCCTGTCTGACCCGTACCCCACTCCTTTCTTGTCTCCCCAAGCCTGGCCCAACAGACCACATCTCCCAGGGTCCTTTGCTCTCCAGTTTGTGGGTAGATTTGGCCAGTGAGCAATATCTGCAGGAAAGAGGGCTCCAGGTAGGATAGGTAACTCCCTCAGCCTAGGCCTGGCATTGGCCAACCTTCCTGGACCCCAGCTGAGATGCCAACCCCGTTTCTCAGTAATGGGCTGGCTGGCGCCTGGGGATTCACATTTTTTTTTTTTTTTCAATCTCTCTGTAGCCCTAGCTGGCCTGGAACTCGCTTTGTAGACCAGGCTGGCCTTGAACTCACAGAAATCCTCCTGCCTCTGCCTCCTGACTGCTGGAACTAAAGGTGTGTGCCACCATGCCCGCTGGGGATGGGGGGCAGTTTCACAATTTATATTCCTGTCCTGGAGCTTCTACCAGATTACAACCTGGCTGTCTTAACTCTCACAGTAAGGGACACCAGAAGTTTAAAGTCAAAATGTGTCTGACTGCCCAAAAGGCCCTCAGGGAGTCTCCTTCCTGCCTCTTCCAGCCCAGGGGCCTCAGGTGTCCTTGATTTGTCAGCAAGTCACTCCCATCTCTAATCCACCTTCACACGGCTTCTCTCTTGTGTCTGCAACATCCTCCATCTCTCCTAAGGACACATGGTTGGATTTAAAGCCATTGTAAGGTGTGAGATGACCTCACTTCAAACTCCTTCCCACCTTTATCCAAATAAGGTCACATTCACAGGTCCCCAGAATTGAAACACACACCTGCCTTTAGCAGAGCCACCCTCTGCCTACAACACACCTGGTGGTGCCCGATATCACCTTCTGACATGGCTCCTTCATCATGGACTCCCCAGCATGGTTGCCACTGTCTAGTGACCCTTAAATCAAAGAGACACAGCATTATCAAGACCCCACTGATTCTGCCAAGTTGGTCACAAATGGACCCCATGCTGCCACCAGCCCCAAGTAGTTATTGCCTCACCCTTCACACCAGGACACTGTTCCTGGAAGGCACAGCCTGTTATGGTCAGAGTCATTTTCTTGTTCAAAGTGATTCTTTCCAAGTCAACAGCTTCGGCAGGAGCCTACTGCTTGTCAGCGAGAACATGCGATGCGACTGAGCCCACGCAATGAAACCTAACCTTCCATCCTCTGTCATTTATGCCAAGATGGCCCTAGCCTAGGATTCTCATGCTGCTGCCTCTAACTTAGCCACTGTCTTATCCCAGGCCCCTCAGCTGCATACCCCCACCCCGACCCCACTGTCACTACAACCTGGCTCCGAGGAGGTGGCAGGGGCCCAGGGGAGGAAGGTTGGAACCTGCCAACAGTCAGTACTGATGGCAGGGGGTCTCCTAACGCCAGAGTCCCCTTCCACGTCTACACTTCCCTGCCCACCTCATGGGGACCCACCCATCCTTCCGGATGGATGGAGTCCTTAGTGAAGTTGAGTTGGGGGCAGAGACCAAGGCAGGTGTCATGGGGTAGCTTGGGCACTCAGAGTTGGCAGCCTTGACTTCCTAGGGCCCATGCTGCTGGGTGACAAGGAAGGATTCTGTGGCAGGGCACCAGCAGCATGTGCCCCGGTGTGGGACCCCCACAGACTGGTGGTAGGCATATTGACATCTGCCTTTCCTGGACATCCCCAGACAGGACTGGGCTGAGGCTGAGGAAACAGCAGTGAGGTATGGTCAGTAGAGGGGACGGTCCTGGCACAGACGTGAATCCTCATCCCGCCTCCTACCCACAGGGCTCCTGGCAGGCTGCTGCTACTGCAGGCCACACTGGCCTTGGAACTCAGGCAGGGGGAGCCCCGGGAGCCCCACCCAGCTTACCCTCAGGGAAAGTGCCTGGCTCAGCAAGGGGGCTACTGATGTGAGGCTGAAAAGAAGGCTGGGGGAAACTGAGCCCACATCCCCTTTGGGAGGGTCTTTGAACCCCAGGGAGCTGCTTGGCCTCCCCATGGAAGTACCCACCTCCCACTACCGATCCTGGACACTGACAGACCCAGGAGCCAGGGCAGCAACATCGAGAAGGGGGCTCAGTACTCCCTCCTTGAGGGCTGGGCTAACCCCGCTCCTCCAAAGGAGAGCAGGTTTGAATGGAGCCATGGCTGTGAAAGATTATGGGTAATTTCTGACTTCCAAATTTATCCTCAGAAAAGTTGAAGAAGATTAAAATAAAAAGAACATTTGATTTACTCATTATAACAGAAATGGAATTTTAAAGAACATAGACAAGAGAAAATATTCCAAAAGCCTTCAGCCAACACTAGCTACTATGCAAGATCCTTAATTTTAGCTATGAGCTTCCTGGCAGTTTGAGCAAAAAGAGTAACACCATGAATCATGCACTGTTGGGATCCTGGACATGCTGTGATGATCCCAGGCCAAGCTTTCCTGCCTTTTTTGCCCCTTGGTTCCCTCAGACTGCTAGACCTGAAGTCCTGACTTAGGTTTGTAAAATGTGCAGAGTGGAGAGCTGAGCAGACACGGGCGATGAGCACAAGGAGGTTCAGGCCGTCTTGGGCTCCCAGTCCCAACCCGCCTGGCGTAGAAGGGCTGCTCAGAGGAAGGACAGGAGGAGTTGGTAAGGGGCAACCAGGGTATCAGGAAAGCCCCTACCAGTGGAGTGTGTCCAGGGCAGACAGGGGTTAAGGCCTCCACAGCTCGAGGGACTGGCAGAGCCAGGCCAGTAGCTGCTGAGAAGCTCAGAAATCTGTTTTCCTAAGCTCTTGGCATTGGCCTGAAACCTCAAGTGTATTTTCCCTAAGTTTTATTTTTTCTTTGACCCCAAACTCTGGGAAATTTAAGGGAAATTTAATTATGGTGTTTTGGGTCCATTTACGCTTAAACACTCTCAGCATTTTTTTCCAGGACCCTTTTGCAGTTCAGCATGCCTTGGGAGCCTTCTAAATGAATGTTTTTATTTATTTATTTTTTTTAAAGGCCTTGCCCCCTAGCACCCTTCAATAGCCTCCCTCCCCCCCCTCCCACCCCCAGCACCAGCCTCCCTGCCAAGAATAAACAAGTCCTGACTCCACAGGCTCCTTCAGAATTAGGAATCCAGGCCCCGGGGCTCAGCAGCCCCTGCCACACCCTCCTCCTCCAGCCCAATCATCCTCCATTGCTGAGAGCCCCTTCCTCTCAGTCCTCTGGCCCCTCCTGGTCATCTATACCTGTCTTGTCCCATCACCTTCCACCTATTGGCTTCTGCACCCATCACCCACATATGACTCTTGACCAAG